TTTTTTTTTTTTTTTTTTGAAATTTTGTTGTAACACTCATCTTTTACTTTCTAGATTAATCAAAAATTGAAGCAGTCGTCATCAGCTACAGCTCCTAGTGCTTCGTACTCTCATCACATGGTGTCACTTGCGTAATTTCTTGCATTGTCCTCAAACTTTAATGTTACTTGTAGTGAAATGTTTATAAAAGTTCTTGGTGCAGTCTTCTAATCGATTTGGGATGAATCAGTCTAGTTATTCATAGCTTTAAGATGATGCAATCATTTCTGTTAAGGTTGAGATTGGTTAAGTAGATTTTTTATTGAATAAAGGTTTAAGCGGAACTCTGAACAGGCAACATTTTGAGTTCATGCGTTTTATATAACAAAACATTACTAGAAAATTTGGGTGCATAGTTTTGGTGGACGTGGAGGTTGTGGCGGTGGCGTAATCGTTGTCGTGGATGGGGTATTTGGTTCGGTAGTGCTATTTTCGTTTGAAGTGACTGTGCTAGAGTTGTTACTGTTGACAGATCCTTCTTGAATACCGCCGAGAAGAATTTGGCGATGGCGGATAATTCCTCTGTCGTACGGGTACCAGACGCCACTTATCATGGTTCCTAGCTGCTAAAAGGGAAAAAGAAGTGTTGCGTTATCATTTTCACATCAGGCAAAGTATTTTGGTATTTTTTTTAGGCAGAAAAGGTTCACAAAAATATACCGGCGCTTGGTCACAAATAATTTAGAGGCTTAATTTTGGTGATAATGACAGTTCACGAGATAGAATTACTAATAGTCTTACTCGTTTCATGTTTTCTATGGCTTTCTCTTTGTACTCCTTAACTTTAATGTCGTATTCGTCAAGCTCCGCTTTTTCATTGTCATTTAGCTGACGGACGTATAATGGTCCAATATATACTCTGTAGTTCTGGAACAGGCTACTTATAATTCTAGCTAGCAGAAGCATTCGCACTTGGTGGATGAGGCATTAACTGGCGCTGATTAAACAGTGTGAAATGTTTAGATTCAAACTAAGACTGAAAGCAAGTCTAACTAGAAAGTTTTTGTTTTTTTTCAGTAACACACTCAAATGGAACAATGAATTTTTTATAGCTGGATTTTTAAGTTTTCTGTTTTTGAAAAATATAGCTTTTGTACCCTATAAGCGATTCTTTGGGAAGTTTAAAGATGGAAACTTTGACCTTTTTATACTGTAAGTTGTTTGGACAATATTGTTTGCTTTATTTTATTCCATACTGTATTCCTATTCAAGATATTTGATCCTTTTAAGTTTGAAAGTAGCACATCAGTGTGGCATTTCTTTGTCTTAGGACAAACTGAACTTTATAAATTTATTCAACGACTAGAAGCTGCTTATTACTGACCTGGACGATGCAGCCATCTAACTGATGTATAACTGTATCGGGTCCGGTGCAAAACGATGGTGCAGCTGGCCGTCGAGGCATTGTTCGTTGTTCAAAAGGGAGTATAAAACGGCCACCGAATATCCATTCTGTTGGCGACTTAGTTGCTCCAGTGATATGCTCATGAAGCATCTAAATTCTATACTATCAAAACACCGAGCAAGATTTATTTCCAATTAGGAATAACTTTAGAAAAAGTATAGTAAAAATTTTGGTAGCCTTGTAGTGAATTTATTGAGAAAGAAGGGATTTTATGGGCTTCTTACTTTATTATATTCATTTATAGCTTCTTCATAATCAGCCAACTCATCAGCTTCGTCCTTTGTCAATTCTCGAACAAAATAACTGTTTGCAAAAAGCATATTCCCCTTAAATACCATTAATCAGTCACTGTAGTTAGGAAGTTTTAGCTGCTGCTTATTTTCTAATCATTTATAATGACTGGGCAACAGTTTTCGTTCCAAAAAGAATTGTAAATTTCTTTTCTATTTTCTTTTCGAGAGTATAAAGCTAATTTTTGTAAGTGAATACCGAAACAACGCATAGGCTACTGTATCTGTGTGAACCACTAATGGTAAGTGCATCTGGAGGTTTTATCAATATTGACATAGATCCAGCGACAACGGTGTGCAGAAAAAACAATAATTTTTGACTAAAATTGAGCATCGCGAGAGTTTTTCTAAAAAGTTGTACTCATAAATTTTATTGACGAGTAGCGGTGAAACTCGTAGCATTTTACAAAAATAAAATATTTAGGTAAATTTTTGCATAAATCGCTGATGATTCTGTTGCTATATCATCAGAAAGTGGGGACGGTACATCACTACCGGCTTTTAATAGTTGGCTAACGGTAGCACGACAAAGAAACGTTCATCACTGAGTTGCTTATGTTACATGCAACAACTGGTTTCAGTTTCGCAACAATGTTAGAGCACGTAATATGCGGCAGTTAATAGGGTCAGTTAGTTAACTTTTTTGGCTGGTAAGCTGTTTCTTCCTAGCCAGTTGTTCAACTGATTTGTACAACCAACAAGATATTTAAGTAATCATTGTAATAATGAGATAGTTGGTCAAGTAAGGATACAAATAAAAAAAACAGTGAAGGAAAAAGAAAGGAAAGAGTCGATCGTTTTTTAGCTACGAGTAAGAATAACGATTGGATAAAACGTTCAGTTGAAGGTTAGCCAGCTGGTGTGTTCTGTGAGGAGGCAAGGTACACTCACACTAATAAACCGGCAAATAGAGCTTATTTAAGCAATGTAGCCGAACAGTGGCTATTGTTCAAAAGTGACAGGCCGGTGGCGTAGCCTTTGACATATTTGGAGAGCTCTTGTCTATCTGAAGGCACGGTCTACCGTCTCGTTCGTTTCTTTTTTTTTTTCGTTTTTCAAAACTAATTACAAATATTAGTATCGTTTTTTCCTTTCTTTCATTATCCTTCTTTTTAGTATGACAACAACATCGTTATCGTCGATCCGACTATATTTAAAAAATTTAACCCCCCCACAATGTTAAGCAACATTAGATGGTTTAGACTGGTAGATTGTGCAAAAAAAAATTTTTTTTTCCGATGTTACTGCACTTTTCAGGTTACCATACTTATTGTAAATATAATTATCTGCTGAAATGATCCAGCCGTAATGCCACCGTAATGCCAATA